AGTTTAATGTAAGCAATCAATCAAATAATTATTTATTTTTTCCGTTATTTATTAATACAATAATATAGTATACATCTTATTAGCCACTTCTATTGAGAAGCTGATCGTCTCCAGCCGATGTGAAATTTAAGTGGATGTGTAATAATAACAAGCAGGATCTATTATCTATACTATGGATTTTTGTGACCCATAAAACAGGTTGATATATAAAATTAAAGTAAAAAAAGCTATTAATCATCACGAAATAGCAGTGAATAAAAGTCTAAAGTACCAGCCCTCTAGGGATACCTTAGGTGATTTTATTTTAAAATATATATGAATAAGTTATATAATAAATAGATATATTAACCAGATAAATAGATATGTGTATTATACATTACTAACTTGACGCATTTCTTCTCGAACTGCCCATAATAATTTATAATGTTCAGCTAATTGTGAAGCACAGAGACCATTGGGTCTATACATATATTCCAACCATTTTTGAGATATGATATTTACAGCTCGGATCTTTTTTCCAACTTCTCTTGCACGTTGAATTTTTTTGATAGCATTGGACATCCACAATTCATAACGACGAATCGCATCTTTTTCAAAGTAGGAGTTACTAGCTTCTGATCTACTTTTAAGTTCCATATAGTCTTTATGACTAATATCACAATATGCGTTTCCTGTGCAATTTGTGCTCCAATGTTTATCCATGAAATGACGTCTGTTTCTAGAATAAACGAGATTGTTACATGAATGACATATTGCTATACTTACTTCTACAGCATGACCAAGATCGCCTTCCCATAAATATTTCATTTTCTGGCAATAAGATATCGCTTTTTATCGTCAGTCAAACAATTATTATTCTTATAATTCGTCAACTGATCCCAAATTCGTTTTATCCAATCAGATGGAGTTTCACCTTTATGGATTACTGGAAATTGACAGTTATCTCTCCATTCAATATCGCTCAAAACTGGACATTTATCCATATAGACCATATTTAATGATTAAGATAATGTTAATGTTTTTAGAGATTATGTGATTTATATCGAATTTAAGGATTTAGACCTATTTGATTTAATACCTATATACTCTAGAATAAGTGGATTCATTTTTGTGTAATCGGGTTCTTGGTGCATTTTTTAAGCACGAAGTGTCCTGCTCTGCAGTGAAATATAGGCTATATTTAATAAAATCGCAGAATATTATGAATATTATTAAACTTGATGTGGTTATATATAGTATTTGACTTATAAATAAGATACATATTTGTTGCGATAAAATTTATATTTACCTATATACAGACAATCTAATATGCGAAGCATAGAGTCTTTGTCTCATAGCAATATATGTTAATCAAAATTCCAGAAACGCAATTTGACCAAATCCATAATGCAAATACCTCTGCTCGAAGAAGAGAAGAAAGCCGACGTAGCCGTACACCGCCACCTTCCTATGAAGAAGTTTCATCAATGCTAGATCGTCGTGAAGTTTCTGCTAGTCATAGGGGGCGTTCAATGTCACCTAGTGGGAGATCTAATAATAGTAGAAGTCATAGTAATGTTAATCAAGGTAATGGCGGAGCCGGCACAGCTGAAACAAATAGACAAAACCCGGAGACTCGTGCACCAACTTCCACTGAAAATAATCCAGATAATGAAATTAACGCTACAGGGAATAGTGATAGTATGAGTGTTGCGGATTAATACTCCAAGAAATAATGTTAGCGACGATTTTAAAAAAATAATAAAAAAAAATATATGTCTTTATCACTTATGTACCTTGATAATCCCTCTGCATAATCAATCAGATAATCAATATGTTGTACATGGCTATGTGTCGTAGACACTAACTCCGTTATGTAATAAAAATTATTTTTAGAATTTCGATGTGTACTACCTGACTATATATAATGTAATATGCATGCATGTTTATTTGTGCGATTAACCAAATTCGTTTAATTACCTCATGTACATTCATTTTCTTTGTGTGTGAATTCCTTGGCGTAAATACTACTTTCTTCCACTTTATTATACCCATTCTATAGATCCAAAAGAAGATTTAGAAAGAGATAAACGAAAACGTTTAAAAGGGCAGTATATCGAAGTTATGGATATTCACGAAATATTTTTCGATTATTATAAGTACTAACATTCTATATATTTTTTCTACTACTAAATTATAACCATGTCATCTTACGAAACTATTTTAGCAAGTGAAATATTTACTCCCTTACTCGACTTTTTAAGAAACGAATCTTTAGATCAAATCACCATCTCTAGGATTTTTTACCAGCAATGGAGTCTTTTCAAAATTCAAACTGAAGATGCGGACTGTGAATATCTTGAGCGTTTATTAATAAAAATTGAAAGTGAAGATATTACTGATGATCGTAAAAAACATCTGAAGTCGCTACGAGAAAATAAACTGGTAAGTTTGCCTTGATGATAACATAACACCACATACGGATATCCTTGCATCTTACATCCGTTATTTTGGTATATATGAAAATGATGAAAATATACTGTCGAGACATTAATTTATATAATGCGATTGAGTAAGCGGTGTAATGCCAGCGATAATCTTTTTCATTATATTTTTTATGGTGATCGTGGACAGTAAGGGTTAAACAAACCCCATAGCCGGCAAACACTGATTCAGAAGTCGGATTTATCTGAGTTATAAATGATGATTTTTGGACGTCTATTAACCCGACTTCTATTTTTCATAGATACGATATAATCGAAAAGAACTCATGTCATTAGTAGATGCGGGTTTATTACGGGAGAAATTTAAAGAACAAGTGGACTGGAAAAATACAGCTTCTAGTAACATATCCATATTAAGAGAAGCAATAAAAGTACGTATCATTACGATTAATGAAAATAAATCAATTATTAATATTACATCTAATTTACTAGAAAGAAAATACACCGACCCACAACCATCTTTTCAAGAAATTATGTGAGATAGATATAGATGATTTAACACACGATGATCTATTGTGTAATGGTATAGTTGACCTAGGATCAGATCGATTTCAGATTCCAGAAAGTGAATATAATGATCTAATCGTGCGTATCTGTTGTATAATTAAACAATATTCTTTTTGAGTGTTAAAAATGAGTGATATTAATTACTATTTATACCGTACACCTACAGAAGGAGAAAGCATGTATAAGAACATTGAATAAAAATACTTTAATAAAGAATATATGTGCCGATTTTGTGGAAAAAAGAGATGAACTCCATCGATTATATAAGTTTGTATTATCAACAAAGGAAGCAGTGACGCATTCACGATGGATCGAGCAGGAGCAGGACAGGGAACGCATTGCAAGGGTTATTACTGATGTTCTTTTACAGGAGATAAGGTTTAATGCACTTCGTAAAATCTCTAGAGGGTCTGAAAATTCACTAGTAGAAATCATAGCACGACTGATGCTACTATGTATCGTCTACCTGTTGAATGTGAAATTGATGTAACAAGGGCCGAACGGCAAAGTAAAGCCAGCAAAAACCGCAAGGTTAAACAAAGTATAGGATCAAGAGGGGATAAGCCAGATCTCATGATACGATCATATCACCGGCAAAAATGGGAGGAAATCGTGTACTTCGAGAGTGGCAAGTGGAAATCCAACGATAACAAAATACTTGATGACCATAATAAACTAGCTCAATTCTGCCTTGATGGGTATGATGAGATCGAAAAAAAGTGCATAACTGAAGTTCTCTACAAAAATTATATGGGTTTTGGTGTTAATGTTGCAGGTGAATACCTTGTAATCCATGGACTTGCACGAGAAGGAGGGGTTAAATATTATCTTCCGGTATCTAAAGCGAAAATACCACTCAATATGGAATCGGTTGAAGAGGTGGAAGAATTTATTCATGCTCTATTAACATTACGAGTAAGTGTTCCTTTCCATAGAAATTGCGCAATTAATCAATAACCTGATTTTTATTATTATTTTTAGAATGGAATTATTGTGAATTTGCAATGTCTTGTTAATAGTTTTCAGACGAGAAGCAAGAAGAATAAATAAATCAATATCTAAAAGACAAATGGAAGATAGTTCTACGGTATCCACTCATAGGTTTGGTTTTATATCTATTTCTTAATATTTCTTTGTTTTTTTTTTCATTAAATAAAGCTATCCATATAAATATCAAAAAATAAGCCAATTAATTACTGTGCACACTAAGAATACCCAAATCGAGATTATTTATCTCTAGATACCTCTTCATAGTCGAATACCGCTTTCTTATCTTGAGTATTTCTATTTATGATAATTATATGTTCTCCTTCCATAACGTGCATATATTTATTCCGGTTTTAAGATTGTATATACTGTGTAGGATTCGTGGTAAATTTACCTTGTGTTTTACGTCTGTTATTTCTAGATTTGCGGGACATATTAAAGTACTAGATACATTCATATAGGTTTCAGTCCTGAAGAAATTCGTCTTCCAATTACAGAGGAAGATAAACAGTTTTTTCGAGAATTAATAGCAGATCAAGAAAAATTCTAGCTCATATTGAAAAAAGATTCAAAGACCTTCCACTCGCACCAGTTGTTATAGTTGATTAGATTTTATCCTGCCATGTAGACAGGTGATAGAGATATATCAATATCAATAATTAGGCAGTTGCAACCTCTGGCTAATTTTTCTTTTTACTTTGCGACTTCGCACGCTCTTATATGTATGTGTTTCTTCTGATCCCGAAGTAGACGAAGAAGTGCTTGATTCAGAAGTATCAGAGTTAGTATCTGATTCCGATTCTATGATGGAATAATTGACCTTATTTTTCTTGCTTTTATTTTGCTGTAAGCGAGAATCAGAAGAACCCGACTGATTATCAAACTTATACACAGGTACTACTATGGATTTTCCTTTCCTTCCGGCAAGATTTTTGATACGAAGAGTTGTTCTTACCCAACCATCCTCCGCGTCAGTTACAATTTCCGCTCTATATGTCTGGAGCTCTTCATCATCATATTTTCGACCGGTGAACCAATCAAACCCTAACATGATATAATTGGGAAATTCGGGATGATGTTTTACGATTAATACCTGGGTTGGAATTGTAATAGATGCATATTGTTTGCTAAATCGACTACATTCTACACTTGAAGTAAAAGTAAGTGGAATCACGGTCCATCCAATCGGATATGTAGTCATCTCCCTGAAAAATCTACTATCTTTATCTTCAGAACTTATTCGTCTAGTGATTTTCCCACCAATGTGCTTGAGAATTTTATCGCTACATATACTTGGCCCCAAAAATCCCGGTTCGAGACAGCAGTTGACTTCTTGATCTTTAAATTTAGCTTTGGTTATTTTCATGGTAAGTTATATTATGTGTTATATATTCGATTGAAAAAATAACCAATAATTTACTAGATTCAAACTTGGCCACATCTATGGAGCGTGTGAATCATATTTTTCAGATTCCGGGTTGCCCTTTTAATAATTTCGAAGTTACGATGTGGTTATAATTATTTTCAGATTGAATTTGCTATATTCACTATATATTTATGCGTTATTTTTTCCGCATTAATTATATTACCACATTATAACAATCATGACGAGTAATACTAATAATAAAACTGATCAAAGCGAAACATGTGCCCCTTTATATGAAGTGCTTTTATATAAGAAGGATATAATAGCAATTCAAGAAAAGCTTGGTATTAACAGTAATATAAATCAAACGACAGCGTTGGAGAACAAGAAAGCGAAAAAACTTGATGATTCATATGAATTGTTGTTAGAATTGGTGGGGGGTTTAATACTTATACAGGGGGGACTTGGTATAGATATCAATCCCGTTTTAGAAGCGGAACTTAGAAGGGATAAAGCCTCTTCAGATAAACCAATTAGATTATTTGATTTGCTTTTATGCTTAGAAGATGATATAGCGACAATTCAGGAAAAACTTGGTATTGTCGGTTATACTAATCAAGAAATGGGTAATTACTGAATGTGGGAGATAAAATCTATTTCATCATGACATCGCTCCCTGAGGCCCATTATAACGTGACATAGTGCTTCTGACTAATTTTTTTCTTTTTACTTTACAACGTCTTCGCTTAATAGGACGTTTCTTTGCAGATGAAGTCTTATGCATATTTATAAGCTCTGATCGCAATCTAGTCAAAGAAGAATCACTTGAGTCAGAAATATCTGAATTGGAAGAAGTATCCGAATCCGTGGAATAATTGACCCTATTTTTCTTGCTCTTATTTTTGGAAACATCGTCATTTAACCTTCTGGGTGTTGGAGGTGCGGGAGGTATATTGTGAAATATTCCGCGATGGCTCTTTTGGTGTTTAATATTTTGGGTACCTGAGAGAATTTTGTTGATTATGTTTATAGCCTCCTCTTGAGCTAGACCAGGTTTAGATTCCATTGATTTAGATAAGTTATTTTTAGTGGAACTGGTTTTATGACTCAAAGAGTCGCCTGTGGGCCTGCTATATTCACCATTTAATGGGATACTCATACCATCTATTACAATTTTAGCATGGTGGCTACAGTTTTCTGGAGAATTTGAAAGTCTATTACTTCGGTACCATCTAAGCTTTGCCACTTTCCTTTATACTGGAATTGTAAATCTAAGCATTTTATTTCACCTATTACATCTTCATAGAGATTCTCATCAGGATCACGTATTCCATAATATTCTTCAAGCTTATCAAATAAGCACCTGCTAATGGTATTAAACTTCGACGATGTATCGATTAATGCTTTTACTGGGATTTTTCCTTCGACAATAGTATCAACAAACATGTTAAGTATATTTAATAATGTATATTATAACCGAAAAAAATAACTAATAAATAATTACCCATTCTCTGCTACTACATAAAATTATTTGTAAACCATGAATGATTAGGATTAATCCCGCCAATCTCTCTGATACAATTACTGAATGTGGAAATAAAATCGATATTATGTATCTTGACACTAGCTCTGTTATTATCTTATATCGTCCCAATTATAACAGGGACATACACTCCAGAATCGCTAAATTCAGACTCAGTCTCAGAATCGCTAGATTCAGACTCCGTTTCAGAGTATTCTGAATCGTAATATTCACTTAGGTCAATCAGGCTATTCTTCATATTTTTATCAGAAAAACGAGTTAAAATTATATCTCCATCTCTATCTATTCCGATTAATTTGGGGAATAACATTTCATAGAATATATGTAATGAACGAGGTAATATTTCTATACTATCTTCTCTCCAATAACATTTTCCCTTTTTTTCCCAAAGCTCATTCCTGCATATTTTATATCCGTAGAAATCAATATCAATTCCTCGACCTGTTAGCCATGAACTTCCTAAAACTAAGTCATATTCAGGTTTGTCAATAACTACGAAATTAGTAAATGTTTCGTTTAAATATCGAGGTAAGGATTTTAATTTTCCCAATTCAAAAATATTTGGCAAAGTGACAGAAACTTTTTCTCTATCAACCCAACCCCTCCTCATTACTTTCTTGCCAGCATTTGTTGCGCCAATACCAAGGTCTTCTACTGCTGGGTATTTAGATCCATACATTCTAGTAATATATAAACCCATTTTTTGGGCAAGTGCTTTACTGATACTACCGTACTTGGATTTAGGGTCAATTAGCGCTTTGACAGTTGTTTTTCTATTAACGAATGTACAATCCACTATTAATCTTTTGCGAATTTCTCTAATCACTTCGGTTTTCCATATATCATTTAAACTACAGCAATTTTTAAGATCTTGGATCGGAAGATACTTCGTTATGAATGGTATTAATTCTGGTGGAAGAAGATTAAGTAAATTAGGCATTGCTAATTAGTATATATCAGAAATAACTAATGTTCAGATAATTAATTTAGACGCATATATCATTTATTTTTTTGATATTCTCAACCACGCTTAATTTTGCAACCAGCTCATCTAATGACAGGTCTGTTCCACATCTTCTAATGATACCGCATCTGAGTCCTCATCCTCATCTGGGTCTGAGTCTGAATCGTCTAATGATGATGAAGATTTTACTGTAGACGTGGTAGGCGAAAGCCATGATTCGAAGAAGAGACAAAGTCTCGAATTTCCAATTCATCGCCTAATGGCCTGCTCTGCAATAAAAGTGAAGAAGCGCGATTAGTAAACATATGAATAAATCCTCATGAGGGTTTGATATTTGCACAATTAATTTTATTATTATTATTATATAGAATTCTCAAGTTTTCACAAATACGATATGGATCAAATTTTTGATTTTAAAGCAATGAAAGATGTCGGAATTAATTTTTCAGTGGAGTACCTTGATAAGACAAAGCCTCAAATCCCTGATTCCTCAGATGGTAATATACCTAGAGATTATGAAAAAACAAGCGAATTTCGTTATGTAAAAAAATTAGTAAAAACACTTAATAAAAGTAAATTTTTAGATTATTTTGATAAATGTCGAGAATGTAATAAATTATTTCATGACCCTGATTTAGGAAGTTATTGTAAAAAACATATACTAAATAAACGAGGTTGTTGTAAAAATCATTGTTGTATTGATGAAGAAGCTGGACATTGTATATTACATTGTATAAAAAAAAATTGAAACTTATATTAATAAATGCGATAGTAATTAGTTATACTAGCTATTTCCAGCTAATCTAGATATCCCCATATAAGTCGTAGATATCCTCAATTTCATATTCTTGTTTAATAATAGGGGGGGCTGACTTAGGTGTTGGAATAATTGGTCTGTCATTCATTACACCATAATGTTCAACTGATGAAGCATGACCTATTTTATGCCTACATGCCAATTGTCGT